TCCAACTATCTGAGTTAGTCTAATACAGGGGTGGGCGAAATGTGGCCTGCGGGCTACATACGGCCCGCCAGGCCATTCTATCTGATCTGCAGGGCCCCTAAAAAATGTAGAAAATTAATATTTATCTGCCCCTGGCTGCCTGGTATGTGGCCCTCAATGGCATGCCAAAACTCAGTAAGCGGCCCTCCACTCAAAATAATTGCCAGCCCCAGTCTAATAAATATACTGGATTTACCCAAAGAACCTTATCTGTGTATGTCCTTAGACCAATACAGTTACAACTTATACCTCTGTGTATTTTGAAGATATTCATCTAAGTGAATGCCTGATTTATCACTGATTTTTGCTCCATGTAAGAAAGTGACCTACATGGCCCCCAAAATGTACTTGTGCTCAACAAACAAACTACAGCTGAAACATGCTACAGTATTTTGAATCATCCTGCAGAATGCTGTTGTATATTCTTATCAGGCAGATGATAACAGGGTTAAGGAGATGATGCCGCTGCATCTATTTTGGTTCAAGTAGCAATGGAGATTGCCCTGCGGGCTCTTAACCTTGGTGGAATTAGGGTAGCTGTAGGTGAAAGTAAGTCTGGACAAGCCCAAGTAATGCTTATGGCAATGACTAAACTTATTTGAAAAGTTGAAGCAATGCTCTGGAAATCAGGATAGGATCAATCTTCTACAATATCTACAACAGGGAATGTAGGGAGGTAACATAATTAAGGAGCCCCACCTCCCAACATACATTTGTTTGTCTGTCTCATTTGAAATGTTGAGTCCTTTGTGGGCTTATAAAGCCCAGAGCACTTGCTAGTAGAATAGGGGGAGGGAAGGAGGTTGAAACAAAGGGCATTTACAGTAGCAGGTCATACAGTTGAGAAGAGATGAATAAAGAGAAAAAGATGATCGGAGACAAAGAAGGAAATTTCAAAATAACAGAAAGGAAATTAAGAAAGAGGAGAATGATCAGTGGCACCAGTGCATGCTTAATTCAACTCAGAACATCAGTAAGATACCCTGGGATTCATCCCTGTTTGCTGTAAGTGGCTTTTCATGTCTTCCTGGTCAATGAGAGTGTTGCTTTAAGTCCAAATGCAGCATTTCTTTCTGTTTTGTAGGAGATGATGAGCCTACCTACTATATGTACCGAGTTAATTCCACTGATTTCATGCAATCACCCCATTGTAAAACAATTATGATACACGACTAGAAAATCAAACCCAATGTACTTAACTGAGCTTTTCAAGAGTGCGTATATATTAGCTATTCAGTTTAGCACATGATATGGTGTTAATATAAAAAGGAAGATACATGAGAAGAGAGTTTGTAACTGAAATCAAGAAAATAAAAAAAGCAACGGATTTACCCATGCACCTATCTTCAGTCTTTGTTGTGGGTTCTCTGTTGCAGAATGCCTGCTTGTCCTGTCCTTTTCTGATTTTCTGGCATTCCACTGAAAAGTTGAAGAAACATCTTAAAGAGTCTACTATGTAAAACTATCACGATTTGGGTTTTGTTCAATGTATCTTTAGGTTTGTTGGCTTTCGGACTGTGTACTTCTGGGCTCTTTGTACCACCGTGTCACAATGCGACATCCCTGTCCTGTTGTCATACAATGGTCTACTACCAAGCAACATCATCATGTCACAGCTTAATGTCATGATAGCTTAAACCATGGGAGTCAAATGCACCCAGTCTCATGGGCCAGAGTATAGGCGTGGGGCCAGCCTGCATGCTGGGTTAGCCCCACAGACTGGCCCCATGTGCTGGATCCAGCTCTCATGGCTGGTCCAGTGCAGCCTCTGCACGCAGCATACACAGTGTGTACTGCTTGCAGCACAAACACATCTCCTGGTTCTGTGTGCAGCATGCAGCATGTGGGGCTGGTCTGCCGTGCCCGCTACACACTCCACACAGTGCTGATCTGGGGCATATGCCCACACTGACCCAGTCCTGCAGGGCTGGTCTGCGTCCCCATACCGACTGGCCCTGGATCCAGTGTGGAGGGCTGGTCCAACACAGATGCTGCATGTAGTGCGCACCCCAGACCAGCCCCATTCTATGTGCAGCCCGTGCCAGACAGGCTGTGCACCACATGCGGCTTACAAGGCCAATTCCAGTGCATGCTGCATTGTAACAGGCAGCACTGCAGGCCAAATGATCCAGCTTCATGGCCTGCATCCAGCCCATGAGCTGTCTTTGACATCCTTGGCCTAAACTAACATTCAAGGAGTTTAGTAGCGTGAATTGCAAAGGTGACAAAAAGATGGACCACTGGTAGCATATCTACTGCATTTGGTAGCCATGAACCAGTTTAAAAAAAAGGAAGCTGAATAATCAGGCTTTCTAACTCAGCAAAAAATGAACAAAGATTTCCAAGTGTCGTTTAGCCCCCAATGTTAACATAAAGGGCTAACAAAGAGTTTGTATATGCATATATGCTTTTAGCAGATGAGCTGAAATGACATTTTGGTATCTGCCGTTTGCTAATGGGAATCAAAAGTCAAAATTGGAGTCTTTTTATAATTCTGAATCCTCTTGTTTCAGTGTACTCAGCAAAAATACATCATCCTCCAACATATCAAGAGAGCCTCTCCTCATATTAGTGTTTGGGCACCCTGACATAGTCTCCCACCTATTCATCACCTTGCCTTAAGGATGTTTCTTAAAATGTTGCTCAGACTTGCTTTTCTCTGATCGTGATGCGAAAACTGATTCTTGAAGATTTCTTAAGATAACATGACTTTTCTGGTTGGTGTGTGTTGACGGAAAAATTCAAATGTAAGTTCCTAGAGACATCTAGTCTGATTCTATATTTAGGCATCTAAATAAGTGACTCGATATTTCTACCCGGGTGAACTTTTACAATTTTTTCTCCAGTGCCTGATGAAGAGTGTTTGTGCCCAAAAGCTTGTAATTAAAAATTTTTTTTTTACAAAAATCTGGTTGGTCTAATAAAAGATATCATCTCTACTATGAGTCCTCATCAATATTTCTAGACAATTTGCAGTTTACTCAGCACCAGAAAAAATAACTACTTTTCAGCTGGCTATATGTAGATGAACATGTTATGTCTCTTTGCATAAGAAGAGTTTAACTGCTACCTTTAAAAGCATTTTTCTGCCCATGCAAGTAAGCACTTGTTGGCACATGTGCATATACTTAAATGGTTTTCAAGAATGAATCTTGAAAAATATTTCAGGAATCGGAAAAGAATATAGTGTTTAAAGGTCTTGTTCACACTGAAGCCCAAACCTTTCTGATTAGGCTATAGATCTCAACAACTGTGTTAACCATGGGTTTAGTGATTAGTTTGGCATTCCAGCATTAACAATTTTTTTACAACAAACTATGAGCTTTGACAGGTGCAGGTGCAGGAGGAAGGGTGAGGCATGCCAATAAGCAGCCTGTTGGGGGTCTCATGTTCTAACATTTCCAACCCTTATGCTTCAAGGCAACTTCTGTTTAATTATAAGCAGAGAGTCTCATGCAGTGACATTTTTAGGGGCTGAGGTACTAAGGAAAGCACCAAAAATCCCTTGCACCACATAAAGCAGCTGATTGTGAGCTTCCACCACACTGATCGCATAAGAGTGAATTTACCTTGCATATAACACATTTTTGGTATTAAAAAGGTCATTGTATAGGAGTGAATTTGCACATAGAGAACCTGCATAAAGCAGGGAAAACCTGTAGCGTGGTTCTCTGCACTAGATCAGGTGCACTGGGCAGGGGCAGCACAGGGTTGGATCAGGGAACCTACGCGCTGGCTCCATGCCACTCATCCGGCTGACTGAAAGGTTGAGCACCCTTGCATGTACAACAGGGGCAGGCAATTATTTTGGGCGGAAGGCCGCTTACTGACTTTTAGCAAGCCATTGAGGGCCACATGACAGGCAACCAGGGACAGATAAATTTAATTTTCAAATTTTTTTAGGGGCCCCATGGGCCCAATAGAATGGCCTGGCAGGTTGCATTCTGCCCACATTTTGCCCACTGCTGCTGTACAATGTGTGCGTGAACACACAACCAATTTCTGCGCTCCAGCCGAACCAGGAATGCATTGTACCGGGATAAAATGCATGCCCTCAGGACTGGCCCTATCCAGGATATGCAACTTATCTAAACAGCTCCTTCAGCATATGGAGCTGTCAGGGTTTGCCATGAACGGTCACTAAATTGACCATTCCCACCATTTTGAAGGCATCTAATAGCAGCATTTCGGCAGCGACTTCCCATTCCCGTTTTCTGGCCTGACTAAATGGAACACAACTAGCCACACGATGCACAGACATGGTGCCTGCTCACACGATCAGGTCAGGGAAGTACCACTGAGCTGTCAGGCATCATGGCCGCCTTGCATGGGATCACAGCCGGGTGCTACAGTGCGAACATAAGGGAACAAACCGGGCTGACACTATGTTATGCACTGATACTACTAATTGTGCACTCGGCCCGTGGGCAGAGCAGAGGGCTTCCCCACCCCGCCTGTGCAGGACGGCCAGGCCCGCCTGCTACCAAGAAAAAAAGGCAAAGCCACACACGCATGCGCACTCATCCTAGTACAGCAAGCGCAGCAGCCCGCCACGCCTGCGTAGTCGGCCGTCAAGCAAAGCGAGGAAGAGGTGGGGGGAAGGAAAAAAAAGGGAGGGGGGGCAAAAAAAAAAAGAGCCCCTTGCGCCTGCGCAGTCGGCTCTGAAGCGGGAAAGCAGGTGGTCAGGGAAACTCCCTCTGCGCCTGCGCAGTCGGCCCTCAAGTGAGGCGGGAGAGGAGGTTAAAAAAAAAAAAAAAAAAAAAAAGCAGCCCTTTGCACTTGCGCAGTTGGCCCTCAAGCGAAGTAGCCGCCAGACAGGGAGGGAAGACACCCCCCTCCCATACACCCCCCGCCCCCCCTTTCTGCGCCTGCGCACTTCTGGGAGCGCCTAGAGCGAAGCAGCGGCGCCAAGAGCCGCGGGAGGAGATTGTGTGGTGCATGCGCAGAGGTGGCCTCTGAGGCGGGGAGGAGGCGCAGGAAGGAGGGGCGGCTGTCTCTCTTTCTCGCTCGCTCTCGCTCTCGCTCTCTCCGCCCCCATTCCGCGGCGAGGGCGCGAGCCGGGCACAGTCGGGGGCAGCGCGGGAGCAGCCGGGCTGCCGTTGGTTGTGCGGGGCGGGGGGAAGCCGCGTCCGCCGAGGCCTCTCCACCCCGCCTGGCGCCGAGTCGGCTGGACACAAAATGGCGGACGGGGAGCTGAATGTGGATAGCCTCATCACCCGCCTGCTGGAAGGTGAGCGCCGCCAAACGCCCCCTCCCCTGTGGGGGCGGGGCTGAGAACCCCCTCGTCCCTCCCCGACCCCCTCGCCACACCTGGGGGGCAGTGTGTGTGGGGGCGAGGGGCAGTTCCCCAGGGAGCTGGGGGAAGCGGGGGGGGGACCTCGGTGCACGAGGGAATAAATCCTCCAAGAGATGGTGGGAAATTTGTTGCCGTTTCCCCTTTGCCGAGGGTGACCTCCTTGTGCCCTGAGCATCCTCAGGGCTGAGTGAACGCCCAGGCACATGCCTAGGGCCCTAAGTGAGGAAGGGGCCTGCTTGTGCTTCTTTACCTATTATAATTCTAGAGTGGGAAAATTAAAAAGTAATATACACAGTATTAAGAAGGGGCCCATGAATTTGTTTGTGTAGGGTCCACTAAAGGGTTAAATCCAGCCCCCAAGCATCCTTGTTGTAAAGCTCCCCCTTGTCGGGGGGGAGGGGCGCGCAGGTTTTGCCTTACAGCACCCCACCCACCTGCAAGAATAGGCCACTGGGGTGGAGGGGTTGGGTGCACGGTTCCACAGGGTTGGGCAGTGCATGGGAGTTGCGGCAGGGCTGCCAGGGGTGTTGGTTCTGCCTTGGAAAACACGTAACACCAGCAGTTTCCCTTTGCCTGAAGAAGGGAGTTTGTGCCCAAAAGCTTGTAAAGAACAATTTTTCCAACTATTTAGGTGGTCTAAAATTTTGCATTTAGCCATAGAACTGCGTCTGCCTTTGTCCTTAGACCAATGCGACTATAATCAGCAACCACAGAATTTAAGATGTATGCAATAGTAAATTCTTCATAACAGATTTTACATTAAATACTTATAAACCTCATGTGTCCATTATATATAAATGCAAAACAAATTGGACACAAGCTTGTTTGCAAGTGGTTTTAGTTTGATGCCACGGACTAGGTAGTGGTACATCCCAACAGGTAAAAGATCTAGTCTCTACTCTGAGCCCCTGGGCTGTAATTCATGCCCCGTTGTGTTGGGGCTGACATGGGGGAGCTGCACCAGGTGTTGTCTGACTTCATAATGAATAAACAGTGAAAATCCTGGGGTGCTGATAGATGGAGAGTGTGTGCCTGGCCACAAGAGGATTGTTGGGGGTAGTTCTGCTAATATGTTTGTGCTTAATGCATTGTTGCAGGAGGCATTTCAGATGCTTGTATTTCTACCTCGGTGGAGTGTAGATATATTTATTGACTGGCAGATAACAACTTACCTTTTGAGTTGCTTGAAATCTAAGAATGCTTATCAACTAAGATTTACTGTACAGGCCCCTCTGCAACCACTTAACACGCGCTTTCCAGCATAAGCTCCATTTTCAGGGATTAAAGACTTTCCGGCTTGCATGTATATATACCTTCCATATATAGGGGCACTGGGAAATCTTGTCCAGGGTAGTAATCTATTTTTTTTTCTAGTTTGCTTATTTTGTATTACTATTTTAATTGATATAGTTTATTAAAATATTGTAGAAACACTTTTTAAGCACTTGGTTGTCTTATTTCTCTTAGCTATTAATTATCTTAATAAAGTAAACCACAAAACTCCATGTATACAGTAGCTATTCTCCAAAGAAAGTGCATATCCATGTTTAAAATAGTTGGTAAGACTTACTGTTTCCAGGGGTTTCATATAACAACTAAACAAGAGTTGTTAGTGTTGGATCATAGCCATCCTAGGCTTGGGCCAGTCTAGACTGTATTAAGCAACTTTGTGTTAAAAAAAACGGCAGAGTATTTGTTTGAAAAGATTACATTTTTAAAGACAGATTTGTTCAAATGTGTGTTGTGCTGTTTGTAGGTAGTCAATGTTTTCTAAAGATGTTTTTAAGTTTGATTTACTTAATTTAAATTATGCAAAAAAGGTAAGGAAAACCTGTCTGGCTTGTAACAGTAGGATTTCCCCCCCCCATTTTTGTTACCATACTGCTAACCATGGGTTCTTTTAAGTTTCGTCCTTGCTTCAGAAAGAGAATCTGTCCCGAGAATTTGTCATGGTATCATCTTTAGCTTTTAAAATTATTTGGTGTGGGTGAGGATTTTTTTCTTAAATTTCTGTTTTACACTTTCTGTGCTACCAGTATGCCATAAGATGAGTAACAGTTTGAGTAACGGCATCTTAACTCTGAGGTGTCTTTTATGTAATCAAAGATGCTTACTAAGTTTACAGTTTTGTGTGGTGTTGCTGGGTAGTGCTGTTTCTTTTTTTTTTTAAACACGCTTTACACTGATACTTTGAGTGGGGAAAAATGGTTTGTTAAATTAATCTTGGGCTGAAATGTTTTTTGATACCTCTTCATTTTTTTTTAATTGGTTTAACTTGTAAACACAGTTTTAAGGCTTCTTTTTATCTGTTGAAAAGAGGGTGTTTTATATGGCAGCTGAATTTAGAGCCCTGTCAAGACCCATTTGCATTAGACATATCAGAAAAATGGTCTTTGCCTCAGAACTCGGTGTAGCTTCAGGCTGTATGCTTACTGGTTGAAATCTGTTGTGGTTTTTCTATGCCCTGTCACAAATGTTAAAAAAACCCCATGTCTTACCAATGTACTTCCGTTAGCAGGAGCCCCAGTAGATGCAGTTTTGCTAGCAAGAGTGGTTATGTAGTTAGTTGTATTAGTTTGCTCAGTATAATTTGCATTTCCAATAGAAGCAGCAAGGATTTTTTTGGGGTGAGATCTTTTTATTTGACCGACCGCATAGAACAGATTTAGACAATCTTTCAAAGGGATTCTTCAGGTTCAGAGTGTCCTGGCTAAGCTGTATCAGCCATATGTGTTGTGCTGAGTGCAGACAAAGCCTCCCTGTTAACCCAGTTGCATTGACCTGATTGTTTTTAACACAACTTTGGCTAAACGTTCTCTAAACCAGGCATAAAACGACAGTGTTTGATCTTGGTCTTAATTTTTTCCAGTTCTGGATAGTACTAGACTACCAAACCTGTTGCAGATCAGCAGTCCCAGAATGGGTGCTGCATGTGGTGCAGATTCTGGAACAGGTGGGACAGGCCCTGCATGCCATGTAGTGGCAGATTCTGGGTGGCTGGGTTGGGTGTTGTCTTCAGCACACATCCTGGGCCCTTTTGAGGCTGGCTTGGTGGTAAATGAACAGGCTCCATGAGCTGGATCTGACCCCTGGGCTATATCTTTGACACCCTTCGCTTTATCTTTGACAAAAATTGTCTTTTTGAGCCAGAAGTACAGATGAGGTGACAGACAAATGGACAGTTATACAGTAAAAGCTCTGTTACGGCATCCATGGAGAATGGGGGATGCCGGTTAATCAAATATGCCGGTTATCTGAGAGTTATCACTGAATCTCTTGCCCAGTATAAAGTCACGATACAGCACAAGCACAACGCGATCACGATGGTGGATGTTTACAATTGAGACTGCCACTAGCGACACTGCTCGGCATTGTCCTGAAGCTTCTGTAAACAACAGATCTATGAGAAGCATATGGCAAGATGCCAGATGGCTATCAGAATTTTTCTGGATATGTGAAGGAAGATTTGTATTGCTGTCTCTAATAGAGCATTCTGGATGGTGAAGTGCCAGATAACACAGCTTTTACTGTACCTGTTTTGTGCAAGTGCAGAGCAAATGAGACTTGTTAAAATATGCATCTAAAAATGCACAGCAAAAAAGAGTTTGGCAATTGAAGTAATTTCAAATGCTTGTCCTAATCCTAGTAACAAGACTTGGGTAATAATGCCAGTATGGTTTTTATTTGGTTGGTTGGTTTGGTTTTGTTGATGTTTTTTTTGTGAAGCTTTAAACTTTGTATAATTAGCATTATATAACAAATAGTGTTTTGTTCTATCAAGGTTACACCATCATTTAAATGTCATTTAGGTTAGCTGTTTTAATCAGTTCAATTTCATAGAGGTTTTATGTTTGTAGGAACTTGAGCATTAAACATGAATGGTTACCCCACTGAAAGTTGACATGCAAGCTTTTATATAGAAAACAGCACTGATATTCCAAAAAGTCTTGAAGTGACCCACTAAAATTAGATAGGAACTGTAAATGTATAAGGGGCAAAGAGAAAACTTACTTGCAGCCAACTAGAGCTGAAACCTCTTTCTCTTCCAGCTATTTGATAGCACTAATTTCTATCTCTAGTGACCTGAGATACTATTTCAAATAATCACTGGTTCCTCTAACAAGGTAAAAACTATGCCACTCTTTTCTGGAGAGGAGGCTTTTAAATTCAGTTACCCTGATGTAGTCAACCCTGCTACCACTAACTTGTAAAGAATTCTTGTCTGTCAGAACATTGAATTTTAAATAGACTTGGTGCATTGCCATCACATGCTTGCAGTGATGCGGAAAGCTACATGATAAGAATGCACATGTTATTGTGTAATATTGGGGTCTATTCCCACAAAATACTAAACATCTTGAGCTAGTGTAGGAATTGGTTGGAGAGATGGGTAACTTGCAGGAAATATTCTAATATTTTCAAAATGAAAGTTTGGAGTTTAATTCAAAATTACATCCCCCCATTCAATATTGGAAAAACTATTAACTGTCTCTTCATTTTGAAGTGTCATTTCTCCCCATTTAGTATTTAAATGCAATGCAGTTGCAAGTTTTTCTGTTTTTGGCTCTTATGGAAAAGCAACCCGGAGAGCTGGGTTAATATGCGCCTGCTCTGTTCTATTCCACTAAATAGATAAATGTTTCTCAGCTCTTCCGGACTCAAGTCATCCTTTGTTAGATCTAACACACCCCTTGAAAAATGTTTTGTCTCTTAACTTTTGCTTATTTCTTGACTGCAGAAAAAGGAGTGTGCAATTCTTGTGTTGCCAGGAATTCAAAGACCAAAACAGACCAGAATATTTTTCTGACACTGGATTCCTATAAAAATTTCTGGGTTTATCTTGTGACTCATGAGTAGGTGTTTGCACATCTAACACTGCTAATATTGGACAGCACCTCATGGCCCTTTAAAAATATCTTGCAGCTCTCTGGTTG